CCCCTCTTTTTTTTTACATTTCCCCTCTGGGAGGCTTTTTGGCCTTTTTCCTCGGCCGGCGATAACCTTCCCTCCCATCCCCTTTGCCGCCAAAATCCCCCCCCGCGTTTTTCCTTTAAATACCCTTTGCTATACCCCGCGCGTTGCATCCGAAAAAGTCCCCTCGCGCCCGGGTTGAAGGGGGGATGGCCCACGGCGCCCGGTAACCGGTGGGGGCGACGCGGCCGTATTTGGTTCTGCCCGTAGACGTTAGCGCGCACGCGCCGGTTGAGGAGGTAGGTTGTTAGCCAGGTGTGGGCGGCGTCGGAGTAGGGTTGGGCTGGGCGGCCGAAGTGAGGGAGCTCGGGGGCGTCGACCCCTGCGAGGCGGATGTGGATCTGGGGGGTGGAAAAGGGGGGTGTATGTGGTTAGTTGTGGGGTCTGAGAGGGGGTAAATTGGAAATTGGTTTTATGTGGGATTGGTTTTTTTCTATAATACTAATGCCGGCTACAAAAGGTAGGGGAGGACATGGCGCAAAGCAGACAGCTTCTTACAGTCCGATCCTTCAACTCCTTCTTCGCCGTCGGCACTTTGCGAAACGGCAACCATTCCCACCCAGCCAGCCGGCCGCCCGGGGTATGGAACAAGCGGAAATTATCCCCATCACCCACGCTCGTGACACGCCCGAATATACTGCGTTTATGGAAGTAGGTTGGTGAGATGCTGGTCGCGACGGGGATGCGGCGCAGGTACTTGCGGTGGATCCGCACGCAGAATAGGATGCCACTGGTGAGAAGGAGGGTGGGTATGAGGTTGCGGGGATCTTTGAAGTCACCGGCCCAGTCGCGGGTGGCGAGAGAGGCGTTCCAGTCTAGTGCGGGTGGGCGATGGGTTTGGTGTGGGGGATTTACTTGGTTGGAGGTATCTGTAGGAGGGGTGGTGATGGGAGTAGAGCAGTTGGCGCATTGAGTGGAGGAGGACGAGGAATTGGTTTCTCCCACTATCGGAGTGGTTTTGTCGGTGTTGTTTTCATTACTGGACATCTGCCGCTGCGATCCGGATGACCAGAACAGCCATGGCATGGCGATTTATTTCCTTCTCTTGCCACTTATCTCTGTGAGCGGGAGAGAGCGGGAAGAGGACGGAGTAAGTCGCAGAGAGAGCCAGCTAGCTACCGTTATAAGCCCGTTTGGTGTTGTGTTGGAGTTGATGTCACCGCTGTCTTGGCGTTGGGCTGGGGTCTTAGCAATAGCAGATCGGGCTCGGCGTTGCTAGGGCAAAACTAAACTTACATTCTACCACCCAACACCCACCCACACCCGCTCAATCTTCATCTTTTCATTCATCACAACATGCACTATGAAGCAGTTATACAAGCAGGAATTGATGATTTGAATATATAATTGATCTCTAATTACGGAGTACTGCTTTACAAAACAAAAAGCCACATAATTCACCTCCCAGCGCACAGAAGGAAACTCCAGGTGAAATGCATCATTGAACATGTAGACCATAAAAGATGGACCACCATATCCACGGAATCAAGCCCCTCCCTCCCCGCGCGAAAGGGAAAAGAAGGGCTCAAATTCCAAATAAAAAGATATCGCGGTGAGTAATTAGTCAGATATTTTATCTTCTTTGCACCAAAATAGGCCTTTACCGTGGGTAATATTTCCCGGAAAACAGGATGGTAAGGGCCAGAGTGTTGGCAAAGGTGAGGGGATGTCAAGAAGTCAGATATATAGGTTGCGAGCGAAAGGCTATGAGTTTGGGAGGGCAAAGGGCAAAATAATATTGGCTTTGTGGGGATATCTTAACTGATATCCGACAATCTTTTTCGAGTAAAAATTAGAAAAAGAAAAAAAATATATGAATGGGTCATATCTCATAAAACTCAATGGCCATTGGTCCGGATACTATTATTTTCGTGTTTCAGGCTCCGGCTGCACAGGTATAACAACACACCGTAGGCCAATGCATCGAAAAGAAATGAGGAAAAGGCGGGATTCTGACATTGACTAATACAAAAAAGAAAAAAAAAACGTTTCTTTTGATTTTCTTATTTACTCCGAAGGAACTATTTCAAAACATCCCCGTTAGTACTAGAAAGATCACCCCTTAAGATAGAAGAACGGTTCGGGACAAAAGCACAATTATACGTACTATCAATCTCCCCAGACTTAACCTCATCGCTAACATCCTTGGGGCTCCGTCCGTCAACCTGGCAGCCAACACTGAAAGCAGTTCCGAGGATCTCAAGGACAGTTCCTCTCAGCTCCTTGGCGAGGGAGCGGTGGCGCATGACACGGGCAATCTCAACGATCTCATCGAGGGGGATGGACTTGGAGTGCTTGATGTTCTTCTCCTTCTTGCGGTCACGTGGGGGCTCTTTGAGAGCCTTGATGACCAGCGAAGAGGCAGAGGGCACAACAGAGACCTGTGCTTGGCGGTTCTGGATGGTGAGTTTTACGGTGACGCGGAGACCTTTCTGTTATGCGGTATTAGGAATTTGGGGTTTTCCATTGGCTTTGGCATTGGATTTGGATTTCTTGATCAAAACGTACCCAGTCGCCGGTGGCCTTGGCGATATCTTCACCGATCTTCTTTGGGGAGAGACCGAGAGGACCGATCTTGGGGGCAAGGGCAGATTGGGCGCCGACCTCTCCACCTGTGGTCCTCAGGTGGCTATAGATTTTTTTAGAATTCACATACAATGGCAAAGGCAGTTCGTTGCTGGATGGTAAATGGGGAGTCGCGGATGGAAACTTACATGATCTTCACCTCATTGGGGTCGAGCTTGGGAGCTGCTCACAAAATGGAAAATCAGTTGCCAGTCGCCATGTCATTGTGACAGCCAAGGGACGATACTTACGCATGGCGAGTGCGAAAGGTAGTCAGTCTGCCTTGGGTGGTTGTCGAGATAGTTGGGCGGTTCGGGGGAGGGAAGACGAAGAGAGAGGAAAGCTCCTCGAAAGATTTCCTGGAAGGTTTTGTACAAGCTCCGTTGGTACCTAAGCGATCCGGTTTAGGAAATTTAGGGCAAAACCCTTGTTCTGATAGTTACCAGCATCTGTTCCATAACGTAATCAACCACCCAATGCCCGCCCAATCTTCATTTTTGTTGGCCGTTACGGCCGTTGCGGTTAGCGATCCCATTAGATCACGTGACCCACCACTATATTATGTTCTTGTAGATAGATCTATCAATACAACCTTCAACTATTCTACAGATTATAGTCTGAATGACACATTTTTCTTTTTAAAATATTGCATTAATATTTTTGACATGAATAGTTTATCTTTTTTAAAAAGACTTTTACTCTTTATTAGAGATATTTCATTTTTGCTGAATCTATCAGTCAGTAGATTTATATACTTTATATTTTTAAAAAAGTATATTCTTCATTATGAAGAATATCACTTTTTTTTTATATATCTAGAAGAAGTAGAGTTATCTTAATATAAGTAATATATCTATTACTTCAGAGTTCAGCTTAAAACTTGAAATTACACACTTTATTAGATAACTTATTAATAGAATAATTACTTATTATGAGAAGACTTCTGACTTATAAGATAAGACAGAGATCAGTTTTTATCAGAGTATGAAATTTGATAATAAGATAATAAAGAAACTTCAGAATAAAGAAAAACAGAGTTAATATTTATCTATAGAATCTGTTTATTTTAACTTATTAAATTCTTCACTGTTTCTTATTCTTAGAATACTAACTTTTAATAATGATCTGAATTAACCTATCTATTACACTGCAGATAATTTTATAAATCTTATATAAATAATACTATAGAATTAAATAACTGTGACTGCTTTAATAACTGAATAATTAATACAGTTATCTGATAGTGTCTTGATATGAGAAACTAGAGCATGTGAGTTTAAAACTCACAGAGAATACATTAAATCTGAAACTCAAGCATCTCAGGTTTCTAATAAATACAGAGGTGTATAAATTGCTTCAATAAAATTACTCTATGTTTCTGAGCTGAAAAGTTATTATTGTATGTATTTAATTGTCACTTCTTTGTATTTTCTATGTTCTTGTTATCTTAGCATGATCTTAACATCTGTATTTCCTTCTGTATAATCAACACTTAGTCTGTATTTAACATCACACAAGAACTCATCATAAGCTCCACTTGCATATGAGTATAATGAAAGAATAATAATAATAATAATAATAAATAACTGTGACTGAAATCACTTAATATCTTACTATATCTGTCTCTGTATAAAGAGATACTATAAGAGATGAGTTATGAAAATATCAGAAGAAAGTTAAATATACACTAGATATTAAATCAGTGATTATATTTAATAGCTCTAATTATAAAGTCTGATGTATTAATATATTAACTGATACAGAAGTTATTAATAAAACTGACATTCTATTAAGAACTTAATAAGAATTCTCTTTTATATATTATATCAACTCTGAGAAGTGAAGAATTCATTTCAAGTCTCTATATAGACATATACTTAGACTGACCGCCGGGATCATGAATTTCATGTTTGGTCTCATTTGGTCTGATCTCATACATTTCTTGGCGTGAATCCCGCTGGGACTGGCTATCAAAAAAACATGTAAAGTGACTATATATCAGATCTTAAAATGAAATCATGACTTGAAAAAAATGAGAAAGTAGTTTCATTTAGTCTCATTTAGTCTCATTCTTAGCATAAAGTTACTATTTTTAGACATTTTAAGGTTTTTTTTAGACTATTTTTAATTTTTTAAAAAGTAACACTTTTTGATAACACTCAAATGAGATTTAAAGTCATTTAAAGCAATAAAAATAATTTAAATTGAGAAGTGGAAATCATGATCTCATTTGGAAAATGTGACAAGAGTAGACAGTAAGTCTCACTGAAACAGTATGAGACTACTATCTAATGTTAAAACCGTGTAATGGGATCAGTCGAATTGATAATGAGACTATTAAAAAATCTGGTCCTGGTTTCAGACACGGTCACACGGTCAGTCTACATATACTATTAAGTCTTATTAAAAATATTTAAATCACTATTAAAATCTTAAAAGCTGACAATACTACAGTTCTGTAAGATAAGATTAATATTGAATATATAATATCACTGACTGAAGAATGAGTTAATATCTTTAAGAAATTAATAAAATTATAAGTTAAGAATAATAATTATCTTACTTTTCAGAGATGTTTTCACTATCTTATTACTTATTATAAGAAGCTCTGTCAGAGTATTAAGAATATATATTATAATCTTTTTCTCAACAATCTGCAGAATTATCAAAGATTATTTATTAAGATATATTTAAATAAGTTTTTCTTCACTGATCAGAGACTTATTGTTAATATTAATACTAATAATTTAATGAAGTAACTGATTAATTATACATTCAAGAAAATTATCACTGAGTGAAAAAAGCAGTCTCAGACTGATTCTGTGACTGTGAAAAAAAATAAGAATAAAGATGAGAATAAAAGAACATCTGTATGAAAGTACACTCACTGTAGAAGATATAAATATACTGTTAATAGATATTTCATCTTACACTCTGATAAAAAAAAAAGAAGATGAATAAGAAGAATAATAATAAGAAGAAAGAGAAGAAGAATGACTTAATAAGTTCTCAATCAGTAGTAAATACAGTAATTACAAAGATTGAGTTCTATTTCTCTTTCATAGTTATCAGAAAATCATTCTCTAAATCTTGATATTTAAATACATATATAAGTCTGAATATGACAGATAAGCTTCATTCTTTTTCAAATATTAAATCTTTTAATAATAACATCTCTATTAATTCTGTCACTGAGAGAACTGAGTTTATTAAGAAGATTGAAACTGTTATCTTAAAGATTGAAAGTAATGATATTAACTTACAGAATGTTCACTATATTCTTAATATTACAGTTAATCTACTCTTATTTACAAAGCTTGAAGATTAGAGATTTTAATTTACATTATCTTTCACTATTCTCTTATTTTTTTATTTACAGAGCTCTGAATAATATTATTTTTCATACAGTTCAGATCACTCAGAATAATATATATAAGATTAATAAGTAGAAGTTTAATAAG